AAACAAAAAGCAAAGGTAAAGCTATACTGAGTTTGAACTTACAGTATCAGAAATCAAATTTATAACAAGCGATTTTAGACAACAGCCGAAGTGATTCCTGCAATCAAAATGTACTTTTCGGATCTTTCTTGAACGAATAGCATAGAGGAATTCGAAATTTGGTTCAAATTCAAATTCAATTTTCGGGTCAAAAATTGAGATATCAACTACCTACAACCTGTTTAGCAGTTTTTTACTTGTAGTTATAAAGAACAGCTTCCACAACAGTCCGCGTAACTGGAACGGACCCGGATTTTTATGCGTCCACGGATTGTCAATTGGGCACCAAACCTAGAAATTACTTGAGGAATATTTTCTGCCGCTACCAAAACAACAATAATACATTAAAAAAAAATTCGAAACCAATACCATCGAATTATTTAATATTTTAATGTGTATTTTTTTCAGTGCTTCAACTCCAAATAAGTTCTATATGGATGATTCATGGCACTTCTAAACGAAATATTGCACTCAGTGAATATGAATGAGAGAACGCAATTTATTTTAAGAGATCAGTACGTCTGCGGATTATTCTGTTGATGCGAGCTTATCCAATTGAAGTTTCTTACATACGAATTCACAAACGCCTCATCATTTAATCATTTAATCAATTATTCAATTTTCATTTGCACTTTTTCCATTTGTAGGCATTTAATAAGTTTTAAACTAAGAGAAATTGTTGTTTTGATTAATTAATTAAAGCGCGCAAAAGAAAAAAGCTGTCGGCATTTAATAAATAAAATAAACGCCGACAAACCGTGAAGAAAAAGAAAAAAATTATAGAAGTAAAAAAAAGTCGCGATTAAACGCACGCGCTTAGAGTCGTCGGTGGAGAGTGGCAATGTTGTTGTTGTAAACTTTGCTGTTGGTTTTTTCTATTGATTTTTATGCTTTTAATTCGTTTTAATATAATTCAATTCCAATCGCTTTTGCAATTGTGGGAATTTTTCCAGCGCCGCTTTGCCTATTTTCCGCGTTTGAGTACCGTGAGCACTTATTCGAAAGGCTGATTATAATTCGGAATTGTTTGTTAGCTGTTTTCAGCCGTTAGTTTTCTCACTTAAACTTAAGCGCGCTACGTACGCTTGAAAACCTGATGAAAATTCATTGAAGCCGTTAATAGTTTTTCACTTCAATTCAACGATACGCAGCACTTGGCATTCACCAGAGAAATATTGAAAAACTCTATTGTGGACTTAGAGAACTCAGCTGGGAGCAAATATTTTTTATCCGTTTGAATTTTCGTACTCGTCGGTGGAGCGTTATGTGTCGCGGTTAATGCTAAACTGTTTAGCTGATTTACAAGTAAATCCGACAGTCGTCGCTCCAAAAATACAGACACAAACGCCGCCAATTCAATTTGCTGTATGCAACCCCTTGGCCCCGAAGCCCTGTCCTCGACTGACCTACCAACCAAACAACTAACCAACCAACGGTCCGACTGAATAAACAAACGGTGTTTGGCGGTGCCGGACGAATGCACATTACATTCGTCTATGTGCGCACTACAATTACGAATACAATAACTACTTTCTGTGTCTGTTTGTATAGATGTAAGTATACGTGTTGGCATAGTTGATTTGTGTAGCGCCTCGGTGCCAGAGCTCGGCTTCAATGCGCTAAATCTGATTATAATGCGATCGTGTAAATTAAATCTGCTCATCAGGCATTGTCAGCGGGCTTGATCCGTTGATCTGTTGATGTCGCTATCGTCGTTTGTGTCGGCGACTTCGTTGAGTGACATACGAAAGACATGGACAATTGAAAGCGTGAGCGTAAGCGAACTCAGCTGTAGTTGATGGTAAGTTTTCAATTTCGTGAAAAATAGTAAATTTCCATAGTGTAAAGTCTCATCAACCTTAATGCTCTCTTATTGGCACATGCTACACCATAGCCATAGTTTAGAAAATCGGTTTTTGGTAAGGAACAAACCAGATTTTTATCCCTCCAAGGACTATCGACTCGGCAGCATTCCAACAAATTAGTTTAAGGACGTTTTCTGCCGATATTACAACAACACAATCTATAATAAATCTACAGAGTCTGTTGAGGAATTGAGCATTTGGTTTTCAGATTTCAATATATGTATATGAGCGTAATGCTGGACAGAAGGGACTCAACAGAGAAATTATTTTTACTTGCATTCCTACCACATTTTGATCTTATTGATTCATCTCTAATCTTTAGAAATATGACGCTGTGCTCCTTTACCCAAATCCTCTGGTTGACCTTTTGATATACATGATCTACAAAACGAGTAAATCTTCGATCTTCAATTAGTTCTGATCCAATAAGATTCCTAACAGTATTCTGGATATACATACATATGTGTAAGAGCTCAAGTCTACTTCACACAAAGAGTTCAGTGTCAACTAGCAAGCTAGAGCATTTCTGAGGATATTCAAGCAACCCACATAATTTTCTGGGGGTCCCTAGTCTCAACTGACTACGCTAAAAAATGATTACCAGTAACGAATTAATAACATGTAGTACTCGTTTTTTTTTTTTTTTTTGTTTCTTCATTATAGGGGTTCATTGTTTGAGCTTTTTTTCTTTACATGAGGTTATCGAACTTCCAACTCAGTCTAATAAGTATAAGCAAGCATACACGCCACGATCGTCAGCATAGGACACCCACGCGTACGACGGTCGACACTGCCACACGGTAAAAACGTACATACAAACAAACATATAGTACAAACAAAATGCATACACACACACATGTATTTATTTTACATGCACCAATCGCCACCTCCAGCACCACCCACGGACTACACAAAAATTTGTTTTACACATACACACATACATATACTTAAGAATTGAGCTAAGCAAATGATTACAGTGTTAAAAATTGAATTAATTCAATGAATTTGCATTGTAAAGCGGGTACGTATGATAACGAAGCGCAAAACGAGCTATGTATACATATGTACATATGCATTTATGTATGTATTTGTAATACTTCACATGTGCAGAGTAAATGTGATTGAAGGAAAAGTTGCTTATATGTTAATATACATCTTATTGATAGAATTTTAAAGAACAAAGAGTGCGTATGTATACATACAAGTACATATACATATGTACATGCATGTATATAAATTTATATATTGTATATCGCTTTTTTGAATATTCATATATACATATGTACATATGTATATACCTCTGCTGTTCAGTAATCGCATTATCATGCCGTTATCATATAGGTAAGTCACAGTACAAGTTCGGCACATTCGCGCACATTTTGCCGTACTTCAATTAATTAATAATAATATGAGACAAATTGTTTATTTGTTGTTTGCGTTGTTATTTTGAATTTGTATGCGATTGATACATATGTATGTATGCTCTGCACAGACCGCGTATGCCACGAAAAATATTTTATATGTATAAGACCATATACATATATGTATTTATACAAGTGTGTTTATAGTGTGGTGATGGCTCACAAGTTCGTAAATTAACGTGTAATTCAATTCAAGTTACCCAAATGAACTCAAAAGCACTCAACGCTACTATGAGTGCTCCTTCACAATTTGCAGATTAAATGCAAGAATTAATATACTAAAATTTGAATTGAATGTTTCTAACTTAAGTAAAAATTGTAATAGTTCCGGCGCTCAAGTGATGAATTTAGTTATCTAAATAACATACCTTGCACAGCATCGCTTCACTATCCTTCCAAATACGGGCATGTGGGTGCCCAAGTGCTCGCCCATTGTATTTATCACTCCCTGCTAGCAGTATGTTTTGGATCGCATATAACTATATACAAACTCATATTTGAAATACACATACGCATATTAACACTAAAATTTATATATTTTGTAAATAATTAATTGGAGCATCACTATGGCACTAGCGCAAATTCGCGAAGGATGTAAGCACTTATTGCTTTGAAATTTTACTGCTCTTCATACGCACACTTCTTAATTCCTACTTTCATTTCACATATTTGCACAATTTTCCTTAATACCGTAAATATTGTCAAAATAAAACAAATTTAAATTCCACTACAAGAAAAGTTTGCACGCCAAATTATTTTCAACTGTCAAAATAGCGGAGCTCTTTTCACAGGGTGATACTGATGCAGCTATTCATTGGGTGATTCATGTATTGTTAAACAACTATTAAAGAAATGTTACAGATACGTATTCATTAACTCATGGCTATACAGTTTTGTCTACATAATTCATTGTTATTCACTTTGTTTGATTTTCTCACACTAAGCCACTAATTATTTGGCGTTTGTAAATAATAATTTTATTTTTTGTGATTTTTGTTTTGTATTGAGGTTTTTGGTGACTAAGTCAGTCATGGCTACTTACGTGCAATACCCTCGTTGGCACTATCGTACCTTACTAGTTCGTCGATGCTATCTATTAGCGCAGTGTAAATTGAAATCGCACAAAACAGTAAACAATTAAAAAACGTTACGCTTTAAAAAGAAGATGTACAACCACTGTCATTGTAATTAGGTTCATACAGCAGATTCTCATTGCGGGCTTCAGTCCGCTTTTTTGAATATTCATATAAGCGGAAATTTGTCGTTAAATTCAGCACCTAAAAGTATGCAACCTTTATAGAAAATATCAAAGCTTCAAACGCCAAAATTGGAACCTCTATGGACGACAGAATATTATTACGAAGTTGGAAACCGTTCCCACGACAGTCGGTCTAGGCCCATCCAGGACTGTCAACTCGGTAGAAATCTGCCACTACAACAGCAACAAAGTCGGGAATGTGACCTAATCCAAAGAATCTATCGGTTCGAATAGGGTTAGATCATCGATATAACAACCTTTACCCGGATAATATCTGAGAGCTGAGGACTCTGTCTGCTAGCACTGCTGAGAATTATTTCAGAGATGGTTTCTACCGCTACAACAATCGAACATTATCTCATTTTCTGTTTTATACGCATGCCGGGTATCATTAGCCATATTAAAACAAAACAAACATTTATTTAAAAAAAAACAGCGTTCAACTGATTTATTGAACAATTTTTTGATACAGTATTTATCAAACTTGTTCTGCTATTACCGCTTGCTTATACAAAATCAAATTAATTGCTGTCCTCTTCTTATTCACTCCCTTATCGACTTAGATTACATCTATTCTGAACGCATCATCTTCTCCTTTTGTCGCTGCAACTTCTTTTTCGACAGCTTCTTTTTGGCAGGCTCGTTTTCAGAAGCCTTAGACACGACCGCTTCCTTTTCAGTGAGGATTACCTCAACGTGGCATGGCGATGACATGTAGGGGTTGATGCGGCCATGAGCACGGTATGTGCGACGACGCAGACATTGTGCACGATTCACTTGAATATGATCGATTATCAGACGGTCGACATCAAGACCTTTACAGTCCGCGTTGGCTTCAGCGTTACGCAGAAGTTGCAAAAGGAATTCAGCTGATTTCTTTGGCCAGCGACCTTGGGTGGTTTTCCACTGTTTGGCTTGTGCGCAACGACCAACACCACCGTTGAAGCGACGGAATGGAACGCACTCTTTCTGTTCGATGACCGATTTCAAAAAGCGTTGAGCACGTCGCAGAGGCATGCGTTTGATAGCCTGGGCGGTTTCATGGGTGTTCTGAAAGAGAGAGATATTAATTAGCATAAGACGAAATGCTATTTGTAAAATAAGTGCCATATTTTTTTTATTAATGTATACTAGGTCAGGTAGTAGCTGCGGCGTTTGAACTAACGAGTGGCCATTGTTTTCCTGCAGCATACACTTCTTTTAGCATTTTAAGAAGAAACTATGTATTAATTTTTTAAAAAGAAACAACGCTATTTATTTTACAAAAATTAGTTAATATTGTACAATAGGACAGGTGTTGATAAATCGCAGTTGATGGCAGATTTATTTGTTTTTCTATTGAATTTACTTTAAGCATAAACATTTCAGCAACGCATACTGATGCAATGCGCCGCCTAACGCATATTATGCTAAAAAAATAATAATTTCGGTTATCAATAAGTGAATGGGATAGTTTTGTACTTGTGGCACAAGTTCTAGATGGTAAATCGTAGGAGTTAGCAATTCACCAGCTGATGCTTGGCCGCAGCCTGTGAAGTGCTGCTTATTTAATATAGCATCTTTGCAAACGTGTCACTAAAGTATATATCTTTCACGCACTGATTTAAGATGCAATTTAATTATTTAGACTTTAATTTATTTGTTTAACAGGACAGGTAGTGATAAGACGCAGTGTTACGCGTATTTACCAGTTTTACTGCTGATTTGATGTAAGCATAATTATTTTAGAAGAACACAGAATTATTTCGTGTACTTCTTAACGCATATTATGCTAAAATATTTATTATCAGTTAAGGATTTATGTTTCGAATTTTACAGATAACCGAACAAGATCATTTATGTTGCAACTGTAGCACAAGTTCTAGATGGTTTATCGCAATAAATGACGATTCCCCAGCTGATGCTTGGCCGCAGGCTTTTGGGCTCTGCTCATTTCGTCTAGCATCTTTGCAAAAGTATCAAGAAACTCATAGTTTTGCATGCACTGATTTAAGATGCAAGAGTATTTTATAGGTTCCAATTAAAATTCGGCAAGTAAACAAAGTCAATGTATTAAAATTCGTTTATGTTATTGTACAGTTTCATCACTTGAGAATGAATATTGTCCACATCATGTTAATACAAGACAATACTTATTTATACACAATAAATTCTACTAAAAATTACTCACCTTGAAGTGCACACGTAGATTTGGTCCACGCGCCTTGCACGATTTTGTGGCATTCTCTGGCTCCCGCGAGTACCGTCCCATTGTTGTTTAATTTCTGTAAGATTGCAAATATACATTTCGTAAGTATATTTTATCGAGGTATATAAATAGTAATGTTAATAGCATTTATGTGGCTCTGTAGTGCAAAAATTGACAAAATGTATATTAAATGAACAAAACCACACTTCGGCATTTGCACTTCTGCTCATATTTTCGGTTTGTTACACATATTTTATACGATGTTGAAGAATTTTATTTTCCACTTCGACAAAATCGTACCTTCTTCGTGATGAATTAAACCGGAAAGAAACATATTTGACGCTGTCACTTGGTGGGTAAGGCAGTGCAGATCAATGCAAGTGTCAATCAAATTCAACATGGTGGTACAGGGTTGCAACGGACTTCAAACCATTGGTGTTCTATTACTGCAATGTCTTTATTCTTTATTTTTTATTTTTTTAATAAAAATTCAAATGCAAAGCAGTAATTTGACATTGAAATGTAGTTAATCCGGTACTTTTTATATGTTGTTTATCGTCAAATTTCAATATGCACTCCCTAAATGTAATAATGTCAAGTATACATTGTTGGCGATGCAACGGCGACATCTAGTTCTCAATTTGATATACGAAGATGACATTTGGCCGTTGACAGGTAACCGCACTGGGGGTTGAAAAAATCAAAACCAAATAAAAACATCCAACCGAACTTGTCATATTACAAAACCAACAACAATTATTACAAAAATAATATTAAAGTAAACCAAAGGGTGGTGGGCTGGTTTTGAACATACGTGCAGTAAGCAAGCGTTCAACTGTCACCGATAAAACAAAACCGAGTTCGAGTTTATTCGTTTCAAGCGTAGCAGTGATTGGGGTTGAGAGTGGCTGTGACGGCGACGAGAAAAGCTAAGCCAAAAATAGAATAACTTGACGTGCAGACATAAACCAAAGCGTGAGCTAAACAAATTGGAACAGAGGAGAAGTAACTCAGGATTCACAGCGGCCACAGCAGTTGTGTTGTTGTGCTCACAGTGTGCAGTTCAATAATTATAATATAATATTAGCACAATATTAGTGCCGGGCTGTTAAAGCAGCATTTTCAAAATAGCGAACGTGTTTGTAATTTGGTGTGTGCGTTAAGCTCCATACGCTGGTAAGGCGTTTGGACAAATATTTCACCATCAACGGACCGAATAAACAGAGCCACAATAAAAAGCTGAAAAGTAAGCGATACCACAAACATAAATCGCTGTTACAGGCGTTTGATGTGACAAAATACTCTAACGGTAGTGGCAAACTACTAAAGGAAGAGAGAATAGTGTGCAGAAAAATTTAACTATTACAACTGGTGAGTTTTTATTTGTTATTGAAAATTAAAAGAATTAAATGAAACACTTGTACATATTATGATTTAAGCATAATGCTGGGATTACAGTAAATAAATGTCCTTGTTTGCTGTGGCTTTTGATATGTGAATAACTTGAGTTTGAAGTCGTGCAGCTGGATATTTGCATATTCGGCTTAATAACCCTTTCTGAATTACATATGTACATACATATGTGTCGGACTTACACAAACCGGACAGTATGAGTTGGAGACACATACACACATATGTATATGGAAATAAAAGTGGAATTAATTAAAACATTATTTAATTTTGACTCTTTCACATTAATTTAGTTTTCTGTTAACATAATTAAGATTGGCTAACCTGACTTAAACAGGATTTCACGCCATATTGTGCTGCTCAATCGATTTCCTGCAGAAACTCATTACTTTCATATGAAAGTTATTTTTGGATTCTTATTTGTTGCTAGCGCCTAAAGTTACACTTTTTCTATGTCACGCACACACACAGTTGCACTTCAGGTAACAGCTTTGGTATGCTGTTAAAGTAAGGGAGCGCTGCCCAGCGTTCAATGCGCCCTTTCTAAGTCCGCCTTCAGTTAATTTTTACGCTCTTACTCTCTTTGTCTCTCTTTTATCGTCAGCCACAGTAAAATAAACATTAAACCACGACGCCGTTAACAAGCCCAGCATCGTCACTCTCATGCATAACTACACTAATACCCCCCTGCTGTAATGACACAGCTCGGCTTTGCATAAGACCCACCACCGCTACCAACGTCACCCCATAGCACTGCCCGTAAACCGTAATACACCGCATAGCGTGTGTATGGTCCCCAACCAAGTTGGGTTCAATATTTTCACTGCACTCGGCGTCTAAAACGTGTCTTATGGCGCGTCCAGCAAGGTAGGCTGCTTGCCTCCCAGACATGTACTTTGGTTGTGTGGTTTGTTGGCAGGCTTGTGCCCGACTTCTGAAACCGAATTATGGTGCCGATTTAGTGCTCGTCCTAGCGCTTCGGCCACTCCTCGTTTTCTGTTAACGTGTTCTTTACGTGTTGGCGCTCAATGTTCTGTCGTCATCCAAACTGTTTGTCTGTCTGTCTGTGCCTATGCCAAGCGCGCATTTTAATGGCACATTGTGTTTTATTTTCTTGATTATGACATCAACTTGTCTATTGTCACACATAGTATGCATGTACATATGTACATACAGACGTGTTCGAAATAATAAGAACAMCCAAAGTGAATATCGAAATCATTGAATAAAATTTTCTCAGTAATATTTTATTGAACCTTTTTTTCTTAAAAAATTTATACATATTGTGAGTATTAAAAAAATTGAAAATCTGGTCATCAAATACGCACTAACTTTTTTGTACTGCAAATTTTGTTGCATTGGGTCTTAAACAGCC